TTCCTGCTATCCATGTGTTTTTAAAATTATAAGAAGTTGAAATCAGCTTTCTAGAACATTAATAAGAAAGGGTCAATCAATATTATTAAGGCTAAACAAGATACCTGACAGCTTAGGGGCACGTTTTCTGGAAGAACATTGAAAACAGAATGCTGAAACCTGAGCAAGTTTTGGAGAGGCTTCTATTCATCACTGTAGTACTGCAGAAATCCCATTTCTCCCTCAGACTTTTTCAAAAACTCTTGTTAAGCAGGAATTATACCTGCAACTAACACTCTAGATCAGTTAATGGGTAGCAATGGGRAAGTTCATAAGTTCATGAAGTTCTGATTTGGCTGGCTAGTGAGGAAAAATCCCATACTGCAATTTGAAACTTTGTTTTTGTCTCTGCCTATGCATAAATCTTACTTCTTACTGGTATTATGATTGCTTTATTGTAACTGAAACAACCAAACATCAAATTAAGTTTTCTATTTCACCTGCTTAGCTCCTTAATTCATGAAGCTGCTGTCTCATTTCCTCCAGAGACAAACAGGCATGAAACAGTAATTCATGTACTGCAGTAACTCTGCTATATGTTTTTCATATGCTGCCTGCAGGCACAGTGAATAGGAATAAAAATTGGAACACAGCACCAACAGATCTTGCTCTGTTCTCTGTGTCTATGCTTTTAGCTCCCACTCTGATTATTTGTTGCAGTTCCTATGGCTCTGGGAAATGAAAGACACAGATACTGTGGGTGCAGCAGCCCTTCTCCCTTTAGGGTCTCATTCCCAGGGTAAAAGGAGACTGGCAGAACCAGCGTGCTGTTCCCTTCTTTTTTGTAGGCAAAGATCAGTGGCCCATGGAAAAATTCATACCAAGACACTCACAAGTAGGCATTATTAGGAAGTCTCATGAAAACAGTGGATGAAGATGCACAATTTTATTAATTAACATTTTGAATTCTACATTGTATCACTGTTCTCTGCATAATTTTGTTTCTTACAGCAAAGAAGGGAAGCTTCTTTTGATAAAAACAAATTGATACTACAGATTATCACTCCCTCTTTCCTCCTCGTCAACAAGTGGGCACAAATGAACTTCCTTCTGTCTCCAAACTCTTGTTTGCAAATAAGGGAAATGTCCTATCACCTCCCATATCAATGGAAGAAACATGGGCATTGAAATCTGGAAAAGAGACAGCTTTCTGCATGTCTCCAGTACWAAACATATGATTATCCTCTCAAAACGGAAGTTTCCAAGGAAACCAGAAGAAAAAGGGTTATGAGAAATGTAATTATAAAAGAGAAAAACAAACTCAAAAATCTGGTGGTTTGTTTTTTTTTTTTAAATTTACATATGTATATATGTTGTTATTAGGTTGCAATTATGATCCACAGGCTTATTATTTCATCCATTTATTAATTACCATAGTTACTTGAATTGCCAAGATTAAGCCTCTATCATGATAATGACTGCATATTCACAGAGGAATCACTCTTCTAAAAAAAGCATCTAAAGAGACAATAAGAAGCATCAATGTCATGTTGATTAAAAATATAAATTGGTACAGTCATAGAGGAAATCTGTATCAATGTCAGGAGCAGAAAAACTGTGAGACAACTGCAGCCACTGCAGGATGCCTGCTTGGAAAGAGCTTTCTCAGAAATTTACAGTGTACCCATATTTTTATTCTTCCTTGTGATAACATGCTGTGTTTTCAGCCGAGGTATCTGGATTTGCACTTTCTCAAAAAAGTCACCAAACTTTCAAGTGACTCATTTTGTTTTTCAGATGATCTTTAGTTAAGGTTTTGAAACAGACCCCTAGGTTTGAACATTATTTATAACATATTGGGCTGCAAGTTCAAAACAAACTTTAAAAAAAAAACAACCAAAACCAAAACAGTAAAGAGAGAAAATCACATTTCCAGATAGTCTGCTGATTACTAGCAAGGGCTGTTCATTCAGGTTTGAGCAGCAAATTGAAAGAGATTACTTTCTGCATTCTCTTCAAACCTGAATTATCCTGTAGCCGTATGAGATTCCTGTTTTCAGGTATGTTTTCAGAAGCCATTTATGACTTAATTTACATGAAACTTCTTATTACTAMCTTCCCTCAGACTAAGTAGAAAGGCAATGGCATTATTAACTGTAAAATCACTCCCAATCCCTATTGAAAACAACATTTTAAACCGCTTTGCTGGGATGTACATGTTATTTTGCTTGAATGAAARCCCATTATTAAGAGAAAGAGACATGGACAGGAAGCAATAAAGTCTTAAGTCTAAAACTCATAAGAGAAGAATGAGAATTCTTAGTTTGTACAGGCTGCTTTTCATAGATCCCTCTGAAATCACATGACAGTGAAGCCAAAAAAAAAAAAAACAACCCACTACAAAACAGGTTTATTAATATAAAGGCTTTCCTCAAACACAGAATTTTCATGTAGTGTCCATTTCATACCAAAAATGTTAGCAGAACCAGTGTAACTGTATATATCTTTACCTTGCCAGGAAACACACAACTATAAGGAGGAAAAGCTGTATTCCACTGATTGCTAGTTAATTACCTGTCATTAATAAATCAATAAACAGCTTGAGTCCTGATTTTTTGAACTATGTTAGCTGAGAAATTTCTCCCTGAGAAGGACCCATGATGTAAATGATGGGATTTTCAGAGACAAAAAGCAAAAATATTGCATTGTTAAACAATCTTAATATTCTCAGTTCCCTTTGATGCACTTTAAAACCAAAGGACCTTTCTAACCCAAGTGGTTATTTAGACATCTGCAAACTGTGAGTGTAAAGGTCCCAGCCTAGAAAAGCATCTAAGGTCAAGGCCACAAATGCAATACTGATCTTATGAAGCGAAAAGGAGTTTTACTATTGGCTGCAATACCATCAGGTTCTTACTTCCTGAGGAATACAAATTCAATTTTTTTTTTTTTTTTTTCATTTCTCTGTGTGGGAACCATACTGCAGTGATTTATGTACAAGTCTCAGTGGCGGAAGATGCTACATGAGTGCTTTGAGCTGTGCTGTGAGATAAATAGGGTGTCATAATATATTCAGCAAATATGGCAGTCCTCCAAAACAGAGAAAGGTATGAAAAATTGGTTCCTTAGTTTAGAAACCATACACTGGAGCCAAGAACACATAGAAAGAAAATGTATTGGCCTCTTTCCCACTAACACAAATCACTGTGGTTCTATGTGTACAAACCATTACAGGTGTTATGCAAACACTGCAGTGTGATTTTTTGTTACTGTCTAGGTGAAAATAATCTGTCTTTGTTTCTTCTTTCTCTCACTTAAATGGAAAATACCCTGCATTATAGAACATCTGTGGAACTCACTTTCCAGACCAAAAAATGGCTTATAAAGAGTTTCTAAAATAAATTATTTTTCCATATAAAAGGTGAAAAGGAGATATCTTCAAAGTATGCTCAAAACTTTCTAAGAACCTTAAAAATTCAAATATCTGGAACTGCTTGTTTCTYAAAAGAAACCCAACCAGTAATTTAGTATTTTGTGTGCTGCTTGATTGTATTTTAAATCTAGAAGTTAGGGTAAACATCTGCAATTACAGTACAGGTTTTTAATAATATAAACATGCACTAACTAGTGCAAATTGGTCCTGAAATAATAGTTTCATACATATCAAGAAGAACCTAATATGTACTTTGTGCAAACTATGAGCTTTTTAAGCACAATCAGCTCCAGATCCATTATCAAATAAATTTGCCTTCTAAATACCTGCCAAAACTACATTCATATATAAATTTTCTGAAGCATATACAGTCAGGGACCTTATATCCATCAGCAAAATGTAATCAGAACATTTCTAGTGATGAACATGACGCAGGATCCTATATATTGAGGCCCAAGAAAGAACAAATMATTTTTGCACATTGCCGAGTCTCTGTGCTATGCTAAATTAAGCAAAATAACAGCAACAGAGAAAAACCATGCATTAGAAATAGTTAAAAAACAGCAGGAGGATGGAGAGGAATAACAAGCATTACAGTGTCTATTAACTAAAGAAATGCTTATGGAATTAGGAATAAGATACACACATATTCCAAATGAATCCTTATCAACATAAGAAAACATACAAAAAACAATTGTGAGGGAAAGCAACCTAAAATATAACACTATAAACATAYAGCCATTAAATTAATCTGAAATGCATTTGAATTGCCCTTATCACAATGAAATYAGTTCATAATGACAAAAATGTGCTATATGTTTCCACTTATAAACCAGAATTCCTTAAGTCCCATTAAGATTTATTTAACATCAAAATCTATCACACACAATTAGAGAATATATAAAGTAYTTGTTGCATATTAATAGAGCTTTTAAAACAAAATTCCTTCTTTGTGTGCTACTTCTGAARCAATGAATAATTTTGTCCATATTAGTTACAGGTAACCTTTCTTGAGTAGGCATGTACAGGAAGGGACTGGTCTCTTCCAGTAAAGTTATGCAGCAAAAGGAAAATCTTATAATTAATCTACGGGTATGTAATAGGTATATAACTTCTCACATAAGGCTGCCAATTACCCACACATACTCTCTTTTTAAGAAACGGTTTCAGAAWTATTAGTGGAAAAATTCCAACCTTCATTCCAGTCAGTGCCCTTGCTGACTGCAGCATATGAAAACTGACAACCAGAAAAACAGGATAAAGTTCAAAGCAATTTTTCAATGCCTCTATTGATTAAACTTTAAAAGTTACCGTGTTTACCAAATGCCACCTGCTTTAAGGAGCAACATATCTGAGAGAACACACAAATGTGGTACAATAACAACCATTGTAGCAGTAAACAAACAAGCAAATTTTCTTAAGAAAAGAATGTCTTTCGTATATTCAGTTATTTACCTTTGTCAGCTTCAACAAAGGAGAACAAAGAAGTACTTTCATGGAATGGACTTATCTAACAGCAATACATGTTAAATTGTTGAGATGAAGTTCCTTAACACCATATTTAATGGGTATCCCATTCTCAGCCTACCTGGTGTATTCAGCAGCCGGGACATCTTGCAAGAATAGGAGATAAACTGCTCACAGTATTCAGCACTACTGGTAATGGCAGAAATCTGGTCCATTGTTGCACTGTAGTTGAGCTGCAGCACAGATAACTTCTCCTCCCTGCCTCCCACAGAAGTCTGCATTTGTAGATCGTGGTACACTGTTGTCCATACTTTATCCTCTGAAAGAGAGGGGAAGAAAGACAAGACACGAACTGGTAAGAGACAGACAGTGGAACTGAATTAAAATAAATGTAGACCTCTGAMAAAGGGTGAAAATGTTCTGCAAGATATTCGTTGAGGTGGTAGTGGGGAAGGAGAGCATTGCATGTGAAAAGTCATCACATGACAACAAAGTTCCAACAACTACAAACTGATGAAGGGAAGAAACTCTTATCACCTTTGTTAAAAGATACTAAATATACCTTGTGAGAAATCTTCCTTGAATAATGATGCCTTTATTTACATATGYAACTAATAAGGATTAATTTTGATCAGGACAAAAGCCTGATCAACATCTACAATTTTTATGTGAAGARCATTGTCTGTGCATGGTATGTTGCTGTGGGCTGGAGAGTAACAATACTTTAGTAAAGTAGTAGTAAACTAACAACAACAAAGAGGCACCAGATTCTCATGTGATTACATCMTTTAGCTATTAATAATGAAAATGTTTCTACTCTTTTTACCCAAGATGCATTCTAGGGTMAAACAAAATTACTGCTTATTGAGACTTGAATATTTAAAAATAGTAACACCAGATGACCTTATTGATTCTGGTTATGGTATGGATAGAAGCATAAGAAAAAAATCAAAGTAGAATGGAAATACAAAAGCTTCCATTTAGTTGTGAAAACTCACAGGCAAGGAGGAAGGACAACCTCATTTTTCTGATAAGAAATATTGGCCAAATCTCAAACCTCCAACAGATTTTTTGCAGGGGCATGCAAAAGTGTGTAATATCCAGCCCCCATCAATGTCTCTATGCTTTATATTTCTTTAAAATACTGAACTGCAAGTCACTAGAAATCTTACTGTAAACCATTTGTCAGTAGTTATGGATGAGATTTAAGATGAGATATCACAATAATGAAACAACACACTCTACACTACTCTTAAAGAAAGATTTGCTGAATTTGGAAGGTAGTTTAGAAAGGAAACAAAGATGAGGCACGGAAACTTTCCTGTTATAGACAAACCATTTTTTTCTTAGTGGGACATTCCACTGAACCAAAATGAAAAAAATACTACCTGAGTAAAGCATAGGGTTTCAGAATGAAAATGATGAAGATTCTGTCAATATTATTGAGTCTTCCTGTAAGAATACTATTCTACCACTTAGGAGTGAAGAATTTAAAAATTAAAGCTTACTAGGTACCACTATAAAAATCCACTATCTTAGCTGGTATGTGCTATTCATATTGTCCATCTCACATAGACAAAGACTGAAATAGGTGACAACCTCTGCAAATAAATCCCCAAACTCTCTTTTCTCCACAGATTAATCTGAAGCACATCACCACAAAACTTCSTAGAAGTGCAGTAGATTTTTTCAACAACAGTTTTCATATATGTTTTTTTCACATTTTAATTTGCTCTTTTCTGTTTTTCTTCTAAATTTTCTGCCTTATGTGTTGCTATTGCTGAGGGAAAAGTCAAATAAATCTATCCTGKAAGATCTGCAGAACCTTAAAAAAATATCAGTAAGACTCTACTCTGGTGCCTTAAACTTGGCTTGCACAAAAGCCCAGTTTCCCAAATGTGCCAGCCCAGCTGCTCCTGTCAAGCAGCACCACTGACCACRGCTGTCCTTCAAAGATCCAGAAACAAAGCACACCATGCTCCTAACTTTGCTGTATTTATCAYAAAAATAGACTCTCCAGGGAGATCACCTGGCAGTTTCAGAGTAYACTAATTCACCTGCCACATATGCCTTACAGCAATAAAAACCATAAAGTGCATCACAGTATGTTTTCAATTCTTCTATGTAAATCTCTTGCCYGTTAATGCAAATCTCAGTCATTCTAAAACTTGTGGCCTGCACTTCAATATTTTAACTACATGGAAACTCTTTGCCAAACTGACACGTACTCAAAAGTGCTCCAGTACTTCTTCACCAAGTTCACAGAAGTGTGCTCACATGCACTGATGAGTTTTGGTGAGACCCGGAGTAAAGATAGCTCTCCATGCTGTGATTACCCTTATCTCCAGGATTCTGTACTYTGCCTTATTTTCCAGTCTTAATTTTTACTGCATAGTGTCAGGCTGTTTTGGATTATACAGAATCATGTGGACCCATGTGTTTGCAACTGATATGGAGTTAAGTCTTTCTAATCAAATGTTCAGAGATAAGGTAAGCAAAGCAGACAAATCCTCCACAGGTTGTACACATCACTAGTTAAGTGAGATGAAATTCTGCAGGTGATGCAAGATGGTTATTATTTTAATATTCACATTCTTAATGGAAAAYTCTATATAAAACACAGCAATATTTTTGCACCGAGAAAAAATAAGTAAAAATCAGGAGGAAGGAATCCCACTCCCAAGTACCAATGAAAATTCCTAATTGCCACCTGTCAAGTTATATAGAGAATATAACCCAGTTTTATTGTGAGCCTGAGTTGAAAGTTTACTGCAGATTCATTTTAAAGAAAGGATTGAGATAGTTTATACATTTACGGACAGAAATCTCTCATTTTTGGCAGAAAACACTACATGTAAGGACTCAAAAATGTTAGTAAGGAATGTACTCGCACAGTGAGAGCCTCATATTGGGTTTTTGATTCAGCAAAGATTCCTAGACTAGCCAGTAAGAAGGTGCAGGAATGTGACTAGCAATAGAAATTGTTAGGCTTTATGTTTGAGAAGGAATTTTCTTACAAATAGCATATTCTAGTCAACTTCCCACTCCAATTTCGGAAGTTTAAACTTTACTGTGGCACTGTACTAAATATTATAGAAACAAACTTGTGTCAAATGCATCCTCTGAACAACTTCAGGACCCTTCCATCAAAGYACAAGTACTACTAATAGGTAAGAGCTTGTTGAACCTTGCAACAGATCTTTTTATCAATATAAAAATATATGTGCATAAAGCCAATAATCATTTACAGAAAGGCAACTCAGTCTCTTCCTGCTGTCTAAAAGATGATGGGAGATTGATTAGGATACACCTGGTCAGATACTGAAAATAAACCTAGATCTTAATTCACTTGCAACTAATTTGTTGATAGTCTAACTCAAATGACCCATGAACACATTGAGCAAGCTGTCTTGTCCAAACTCTGGAAACTGAACCATCTGTGCCTGCAGGACAAGCACAGAAAGAGTGTGGAGGAAAAGTTGTGGCTGGTGTATGAGAGAGGAGCCCCTTCCTCAGGTAAGGGATTTTAGGCTCTTCACACATTTTCCTGATTTAACTGTAAAGCACTGCCATGACRCAAGTACCAAAAACTGTATGTATTGATAAGGCCTTTCCTTGTCTGGAAAAACAGATTGACAGTGTAATATGGTCACAGCCAAAAAATACAACTCCTCTCCCCACCAAAATCAGACTCCTTAATCTCATACAGTTATATATCTGGGGCTGGCACAAAGTTGTCTGGAAAGATTTAAAGGAGWTAGCTGCCAGGCAGAAATCTCAACCTTATCTACTGAGTGCTGATTRCAAATTGTTTTTTGCCTTTTAGTCTTAATAATTTGTTAATGTGTTTATGCTTCCCATGGAAATCAGCTAGGCATTCATAGCTTGAAAATGAGGCCAAAATCCTCACTTGTTTTCAGTTTCTCAGAAACTCCTTGTTTGTTGAGAAAAATTGAATCAGTAACCTGCTTGCAGACTACTTCCCTTACAGAAAAATGCAGATGGTTCACACTGTCTCAAATACCTGCAAATACCTGTATTCTCACCATTTATGACATTATTCCCATGAGAACAGGATATGATAACTATAGTTAGTATATCAAAATCTGCAAGAAAACTACTGCTTATTTTCTGTCAATAGTTTCCAGCTCTCCCACTGGAGGACAGAGTACCAATAACAGTTAATTTTTAGCACTTCAAAAAGACAAAGGCTTCCAAGATGGCCCCTGCTTCATGCAAATGCATTTCTTAGAGGTGTTTTTTAATGTTGCATTGCATGTTGTAGTTGCGCAGGAAAAAAAAGTGGTTCTTCCATTATTTTGTTTTTAGCAGTGAAGGGGAAGTATAATTTTCTTTGACTAGAATTCTGAAAACCAGTAACCATATATTCTTAATCGTATTCATARTTGGTTTTCACTAAGAACAACCTACTTAGATCCAAGCTGCTAATACATTTGATGCTATTATAGAGAAAATAGATTGCCTTTAATGTAGTCTGTACATTACTCTTTGATGAAACAGTTCCTCTCTAATACATAGATATTATAGTAAGATTAAGTCCCTTAATTTAAGAATTATTTTTTTAAAAAAGGGAGATGACCATGTCTCCTTAAAGTGACAAAAAAGTGACATAATCTATTTCGCAAAAAATACCTTTCAGTTATAATGACTGACTTATAGTCCTGCCCACTCACTAGTCCTTTTTCCAATAAAATTGAAGTAGTTGGCTAATAAAATAATCAACAAGTATTAGTAATGGTTCATTAGCAAAAAGAGAAATTAAATTTAAAATTTCCTTGATCACCAGCTATTCAAATGATCACATCAAATACTAACATAAGTGATTTTTCCTATTTCATATTCAGCCATTATGCCATTGACTACTTTTCAGATACTCAGCTTCTTCTGTTATTGAACTTTCCTCACTCATTTGCTTGGTGCTCAGTTAAGCAAGAGAACTTACTTCTGACAAGCAAAATAAGTAATCTTTTGTAATAATAATAAACTGATAGTAAGTTTGAAAAATTAGTTTTCTTTCTCAGGAAAGACCATCTGCTCACTCTCTCAACAGATCCGTGGTTTTATTTTTGATGGATGCAGTTTCCTGACCTAAAATTTGGCTGATGTATGAAAATTCCTTGGTTCCTTGTTGAGATCTTGGAGAGGATGATTTTGAGAAAACCTGAGCATATAAAAACCTGGAGATAGTTCTTTACTGGACATGATGATTTTTACCATCATCAGTGTTTTTCTCTCTTCAAATTGGATTACTGCGTCATGTTCTACAATATGTTACACTACAAATCACTCAAGAAAATA